ACATTTTCACATAATTAATCAATCATGTATTCGACTGGTGACGTTGTGTGTAAACATTGATCATATCCAAAGTTTTTATTGATTACCCCTAGAAAGATTAACTCACACACACACACACACACTACAACTTCAATTCGAAACTATACTGCATTGGTATATGATTAATTGCCCACCTTATTGAACACCATTCAAAAAGGGTTCTGAATTGTGTTATATCTGAATGATGATTACAGTAAAGTGTATAATTCAGAAAACCAGTTTATGGGTTACTATTAGTATTGTTTTTAATGTATATGACATAATTATATAACTGTTGAGTAAACGGACCATGAGTTTCATCATGCACATTCCTTTTATTCCAAGCTTTCTACTAACCCTGAAAAATTATAATCATAGAATTCCCTATTCCTATTCTGTTGATAGTTTTGCTGTTTACAGCCGCCTCTATTGACAGCTTCTTTTGGCTTATTCATATGATGTGACCTAATTTTGTATGTGTACAAAGGAATGTCTGAGATCTAATAAGGAATCTTGGACTACTGGTGATCGGTCTTGTGTTCTTTCCTCTGCATTCGAGGCAGGTTAGTATTAAACCGACCTTCAAGCATCGACTGGCTGTTCTCTCATCTTTGTTGTATAGCGATTACACACAAAAATGTCGTATTTGCCTATTGGTCAGTAACATGAACATAACAAATGCATACACAGCCATGATACAAATCTAGTTTAAAATATAATTAATATAACGAGATTAGATCAACACAAAAGAATGAAACATATCTCCACAGAAACGACGATAAACCAAAGTTGCTCTCTGCTAACCTTAAGTCTAGTTGTTATTACTATACGCTGAATAGTCACAATGGCGCACATAAAAATAAATTATCATAATTTAACTAGGCATAATCAATAACGGAAAAAAAACAGAATGCCCAATCCCTGGATTATTCCAATTAATTAAAAGACATTTTGGTCATAACTTTCAGCCGACTTGGTTAAATAAGTGCAAAACTTTACTAATACAACGCTACATTAATAATAAGTTTCTAATTAGCCATCAAGTAAAACAACGTTTTATTTTCAATAAAAAACTTTCCATATGAATGCTGATATGACACTTAATTTGAATTTTTTTCAAATGAATCAAGCAAAGTAGTGTTTGAATTTGCCTGCCTGTCTACCTGGAACTTGTTGAAATTTGACTGCTTTAATCACTGCTACTGTGGTGCGCGCTACTTATAAGTAGTATATGACGCGAGTGAAAACGTAATGTCTGGCAGCAGAAGATGGGGGAAGATCAAGAAAGGAAGAGTGGGAACACAATGGAATTTGTATGAAACACATGAACAGTGGTGAAATGTCAGACAATGGATTGATGATGGATTGAAGATTTGCAAATTAACGATTTACACGATATGGTTTTCCTATTTTACCAATTAACTCTGTAATTTGCGATAAATACAATTCGGTTGCCCTCATCTGTGTTCTCCTTCACTACACTACTACAAACAGATAACCATTTATTCTACAAATAAATTGTACTAATCAATACTTCTGATGATTACTATTAGTATTAGTATTACATTGTTCTTAACATAAATACTTCAAAAAATTCAACAACAAAAAAAGTCTACAACAAACAGATCACTAATAATATGCGAAATGATTTCGATACATGTTTTCTGATAGATTCGTAAACAAAAAAAAACAAAATTGTATCTTCTTTTTAAAACAACACAAACACTGAAATTAATAACACGAACTGAGACTAAAACTAAGCACTATTTTATGTGATTCATTGGGAAAAAACAAGAACAGATCGTACATACACAAAGAAAATAAATCATGTCATAAAGGGATCTCTACAATACAACTTTTCAACAATGTAACATGAAAATATTGATAATTAGTATTATTGACAAAAGCATACTACTACTACTACTACTACTACTACTACTACTACTACTACTACTCTATTGACTTCTTTGAATGAACTAATCAGAATCAAGATAGCGCCTCCTATATGCAACTCAGCCTGTAGACCCTTTGGAGCTACTGCCGGTCCCAAGCTCGGATAAAGGAGGGTTTAGATGTAGGTTGGCGACCCCATCCCGGAAAAAAACTAACTTGCCAAAAATACGGTAACAAGAAAAAATAATTCAAACAATATAAACTCAGATCTGGGAGTTAGAAGGTCTTCATTTAGGAGAATTATAACATCTCATGATGAAAGCCAAGTTCATTCAGAACTCATGAGGCAGATGCCTCTTCTGACCACCAGAACCCTTACACGGTGTGAGCAACCGGGAAGTTACATCCGCCCTCATACGAGACCGAATTAGTCACCATCATATCCTTTCTACACCTCCTATATGTTTGTTTCTGCGCGACATTAAAAACCCAGTGCTATATATCTTGTATGTTGTGATTAGCTAAGAGAGAAGTGGTAAGTTTCGGTTATTAAAATACTTGAAATTAACACACATAACCAACCAAACAGTGAAAATGATATGGTGTCTAGACTAGACTACAATAAATACCTGCTTCTGATGCAGATGGTTTGTTAAAGTACGTGATGTCATTCAATGCACGATTAATGGTGTTTGTGGACTATATTTTTTGTATAGGAAGGATTTGATTGTGACCAATTCGGTCTCGTGTGCTGTGAGGGTGGATGTCATTTCCCAGCTACTCACACTGTGGAAGGGTGTTTCTTGAGTAACTTGAAAAGGAAATTGGATTAGCTTTGGTCTTAGCGACTTGGGGACATCACTGCAGAGTCCAAGGGACTACTACTTGAGCCCGGTCATGCACGATGTTTCTATGGGAAGTATTGGAAGTGTTGGCTCTGTTCTTCAAAATGCCTTACCGCCGGAGATGGAAGCTAGAGAAGTAAGATGAGGTGTGACATTTTTAGGGTTGACCTTTTCTAACCACTTTCTTCCATTACGAGAAAGTAGCATCGCTCCAGATGCCGGCTGTCTGAGAGAAACACCTACGTGCTGTCACACCTCTCCACAGTCAGCAGTACGACTTCGCCCTCAAACAGTGAGTTGCTGTTTTTAGTCTTAGCGTTCTCTAATCAACCTGCCTGGCATGGTAGCACCTAGATGAATATATGTTACAGCCAATATAGCTCGGTTGGGCTATGACGATAGGTAAGCCCTATCAACACATCAAGGTAACAGCTACGGTCAGGTGTGCAGCTACATAGTATTCTCCCATTCCAACTTCCAATTCAAAATCTCAACACAAGGTTTTTAAGTTTGAAAACAAAAGAGTTACGAAGCCTCGTTGCATTATAGCCAGATGTTATTACATTTGATGACGAGAATCCTATCACATTATAACCCAAAATCAGAATGCTAGCCTGAATCGGACTATGCAAACTTGACCTGTTTCCTTTATTACAATAAGTAATTTGACATGCAAAGGATTGTTTATCATATCAAAATCAATATTGCATTGTATGTTTATTGCCTTTTACCGTTCATCGCTTTATGGTCTAGGCACTGTTTTCTGACTGGCTGATAAGTCGACCCATGGTTGTTAGCATAATATAATTTCGCCCCACTAATTTTACGCACCGATGCGATTTATACTGATTTCTGGACAGATGAACAATCTTGGTTTTTCATTCACTTTGTCTCTTGTACACGTGATCCTTGGGATGTATGTATGACAGTGAGTTTATATCCTTGCTCATATCTTTCATTCCTATAAATGTTCAGTCATGCTCTAACCGAATTGAGTTTACCTTCTCCACTTCGCATTTCTCATTTGTATTCGGCTTTTTATTAACACTGTTGCCTAAATAGGGTTGAACATTGTAAAATATACAAAACCGAATACACAAATTATGTTCGTAGTTCATTCATCGTTTGTTACTTTATCATCCCTAACGGAGTCAATACATCATTTTTTTAAGAAAACAAGTATAATATTGGTAGAAGTATGTGATACGAACGACCTCCAGGTAACCTTGACATTAACCAACCAAAAACAACCAATCAGAATGCAACTGTTGCGAAAATGCTTCAGAATATAGATAACTGATAAAATTACTAAGGATTAAGAGTTTTAACACGGTTAATGAGAGTATTACAGATAATTATCAATAAACCAGGCTGAAAATCATAATAATATAATCAGGATAAACTCTAACTCTCAACCTTAGTATACATAAAACCTAAATAGTTTACTCAGTCAGTCAGTCAATTACAACGTAGAACTTCGTATATAAGTACATCAGTTCATGTTGCCACACCACATTAGCACAGAGACGCAATTGCAATTCAAATCACATATTGGTTGAGATAGTAGAAGAATTACTGCTAATGGAGAAGATTAGGATTTGAAGATAATATTCAAGAAGTATAGTTCAGTGAGATAAGTTTAGAAAGACAAAGGTAGAGGTGTTGATGAATCTAGAAGATTAGAATTTGAGAGAACACAAAGAGTGGATTCACCTGCGCTACTGCAAACGATTTTGAGCCATGCCATTCAAGGTCTCTAACCGTCGGTGACTTTCGTCTCGCGGACACAAACCACGTAGCCTACATCTGCCGACATGACTCAGTCCACTTGTCAGTGACTTCATGGATTTCTGCCATATTGTAGTTTGGCGGCCTCTAACTTTCTTCCAACCTACTCCTACACTACAAAACATAGCTCGTCGAGGCAGTCGGTGGTTGCGCATTCGTAACACATGTCACAACCACCTCAACTGATGAAGTTCCAATACTTCATCAATTGACCTGCTATCTAACAGTTTACTACATAAGAAAATTATCAACCAATACTTTCACAGTACGACATAATCAAAATTATAATTTACAACAACATACAATCTGCATAAGCATTTCAAATCAACTAACTTCAGTTGACTGGCTGCCTAAAGCCGTCAGTATCGTATAGTTTTATTATAGTAATAACATTAAATAATATAACGCATCCATATAATGACTATTATAATGTTTATTTTAAAATCATTAACTTACGATTAGTTCCAATATCATGATAAGTGATAAGTGCCGTTTTATTATTATTAGGTTGAACATAAACTCGTTGGTATAAACCAGAAGAAGTGAGTATTTCATGTTCCTATTGATTGAAAGTGTTTATTTCAAATTATGTTAAAAGAAACAAAACAAATAGTATGCAAAGAAAATAATGACAAGTGTTTAAATAATATATATATATATATATATATATATATATATATATATATATATATATATATATATATATATATAAATCTGAAGCATACCTCCAACTCTACAAAGATCAGCATATCTAGGCTACATACATGATGCTTATCTATGTATTAATTTGAATTTGTGGCCTAGTGAGTGTACAATTAAATGACTAGATGCTTGTAGCACAAATTTACCATGAAGATACAGTGATTCAGTGACAAACTATACTTGGAAAATCATTAACGAATCATCAGTAAATCAAGAAAAAAGAAACAAGATATAAAGCAGATAAATGGGAGCAATAATTGTGAAGATCAAATAGAATATACCAAACAAAAAGAATGAACAACTTTATGGAATGAGAAGTATGAAACAACTTTTAAACTCAAGGTATAATAAAAAACAAAGGTAATGCGACTACTATCACAGAAGGTCTTCCATCGTTAATCACGACTCACGTACAGAGCCCAAACACACAAACATGGACCAGCTACATGATTCAATATAACAGTTAAAGTTGACGAACTGATTTTACATCTCATTTCGGTCATCACCTTCTTCAAACTTAGTCTTATACTAACCAGCATTGCATTTTGAGTTCATCTAAAATCTCGAACCATTGATCACAGAAAGTTTTGGATGATACCAACTCTAAAATCTGAATCCATTTTAAAACTCAAAATTTAAATGGGGATTAAAATGCGAATGACCACTAACTACTGCACAGAAGATACAATAAAAACTCCGTCTCAAATTCAAATTCATGCTATCAGCTTTTAAACTTACATCTAGCTAATTTAGTAAGCTACTAAAGTTTCAACAAATCCAAGAATTCTTCCGTATTAAAATTTGAAAACAAGTTACTTATCCACACACACACACACACTCTACTTAAACTATATTATGTTTAGGATAGAAGTAAAGAATGCAAACATATCAGATTCGATCAAATATCGCTAGATTGTTAGTACAGGTACACAATCCTAATTCAAATGTAAAGAGCTTAATAAATCTAGTAGATTTAATAAGCATTGTATATCATATCCTGAACAAGCACAGGTCATGAACAAGTTTATAAACTACATTCTTTACATAGAAGCTAGTGAGAAATTCACCTCATTCGTTCAAAATTTACTGATTGAAACTTATGATTCAATGAGTAAACTACTTTCAAAAACAATTTGTTTAAAAAGGTAAACAAAATGTTTCAGCTTTTTTTTAACTGTTTCTACTATTTGTTATACAATCAGTATGTCATATTCCAAGTTAACCTATTAGTCTATGCAAAAGTAACTGCTTATGAATGCAAATGTATAAAATACTGGAACCAAGGTAAATAGAACAAAAGACAGTCACTATTTACTTGTTCATTATCTTTCATATGTTAATGCTAAATATTTTTCCTAAACTATTACAGACTAGTATTTTTGCATTGTATTTTTTAACTACGCAACATAAGCTAAACTTAGTAAGTGATTTATGAACTAGTCTAAGATCTACGTTTATCATTGGAGAAATATCAACACTATGATGCAGTTCAAGCTATAAATGGTCAAGTGAACTTCGAAGTCAAGAATTATTGTTCAAGGTTAAAAAACTAGTGATCCAAACTTATCCTAAAAATATTAAAATGAATCCTTGTATTGATTTGTGACTGAAATATCGAGTGTAAAAGCTTTTCAAAGTGATTATATGATAATTAAATGTCTTGTTGAAAACTATAATATAGAAACTATATACGATAAATGATTTCGACAGATGCTTCTATTTATATTCATTTTTTCATTCTGCATTAACAACTTTGGTACAGCAGAAGTGCTTAAACTGATAATCAATCATAAAAAATCCTGTTACTAGTTAAAATGCATACAGTAACACAAGGATAAACCACAGACAAATAAGACAAGATCCAAAACTGACAGTGTTACTTGAAATTCTAGTTTCAGTTAAAGTAATTTTGTATTATGTTAATAAGAATTCGGACACTTGAGTCAATGAATATATATACATATATAACTAGTCAAATAGCCATAGTTAGCTTACCTCTAAATTAGCAGGAGTTCGGGAAGCACAAAAATAATTCTGTTTACTGCCCTCTTTCTCATGAGATTGTAATTCGATGCCATGGAAATTCACTGCGGGGCAATCCATATTCACATATACACTATAAAAATTAAAGGAGATAAACGGGCGAACAATGCATTAATAACTTGAACAGAATAACAGAATGATCCATCAAGTCACTTCAGATAATTGGAAGTCTTGACTGCTATTTTTATCACTACCTGGATTGGTTACAAGCTATATATGTGATTTAATACAAGTCGAATAAGATTAAAAAAAAGCCAAGACCAGACGAATCGTGAGCCAGTTCTCTAATGTAAATCATTTTCTTTTACACGTATTACATAGTTTACAGTTAGTTGTTGTAAAACAATAACACCACTTAAAGAATTAATGCACACTTGGTAAAAAAAACTCCAACACCAATGCACACGGTCTGAAAGAGAATAACCATAAAAACATTTTATCTTTTCTACATTAGGCTATAAAAAAAGTGAAGTTCCTGTAAACCCGCAATGCCAACACCAAAGTATGCAATTTTTTAATTCATGACAAGGTGATTACAGTGAGGCAGAGCTTGAAAAAACAATAAGAATTTGAATCTTAGGGCCGTAAAACCTGTACAAAATCTGGAGACTCAGCATGAGCATATGTCTATAATCATAATAGACAATGAAATAGATATTTCTTCTATATGTGAGAAACAGGGGCTCCTAGGAACGACAGTAAAAAAACAAATAGTTTCCGAAAACACTTTAATTAGGCCTGGTAATCCCAGTAATTCTGTAAGTAACTACGTGATATAGAAGTTCTAGTACCCAACAATTGAATGCGACATGTTCGATGTAGAACAGAGTGCAGTATATTTATGGAACACCATGGTTTCGACCGGTGTTCACTTTACATACCTTATACGAGATGAAACTGATTTAATAATGATTATTTTTATTACTCAATTACAATAACTGTTGAGCATTATAGACAAAAAGTCTAAATCAAACCACTATTTATGCTTGATTGACAAAGTAAGACAAGATTCGTCTGCGAAACATGTATTAAGGCTTAAAACATTGAATTTACTTAAAAAATATTCGAAAGTGCTAGATGTACATAAATATGGAGGGAAGAAGGGAAGACCGCTGACATACCGTCACAATTGATAGAGAGCGGTGTAAGAAATCCGAAGCCACCTAAGATTTAACCTTGACTTTGAACCACAAAAACAAACACTTTAGAAAATCCTATTCAAATAGCTCTAATAGTTGACGTCGGAACAGGGTAAGTTTTCTGTTGTGGATCTAGCGGTATTTTATCACTGACGCCCTCAGACAGGAGCCTTTGTTTTTACCCAAAATCCAATATCTTTTACACGAGCTAGTATAGACCTGTTGATTTCTTTGCGCTCGATTCTTGTTGTTTCAGCACGGTTCGAGGTACTTAGAACTGTCCGATGGATAGTGGTCTATCCACTTGATTGCACTGATTCCAGTCAGTTAGCAGTATCATTTTCAAAATACACTGTCTCGAGCCCCAAATAATATATCATTTGTCATCTTGAGGAACTCCAGAGAAGTCTCTTGAACAAACTCACCCGTTAATGGATTCAGGAACTCAACCGCCAGTAAGGAGTATAGTCTGTGTCTTCGATCCATCCTGGCGTGCTCTGTATCGGTGAAAATTCCCCTAAAGAAATAGTCCTGTGAGACATCCATGTTGTTGCTGACCTCTTTAGTTTTACCAGACACCTTAATTCAAGGCGCTAGGTCACAATCCTGTTCTAAATCACCATAAGGTACGTCATAAGTAATAAATATTCGTATATGTACATAACGGGTTATTTCTCTACTTTTCATATTTTTATCGACTGCATAAAGATATTCTATTTCTATAATGTTTAAACACACACCCAAGCTTCTTAAGATTAAGAATCTTGCTCCCCTGAACTTTCAACTCATGCCATTCTTCCTTGACAACATCAAAGCCTGTGTGACGGTGAATCTTTCATATAATTCCTAAGCTTCTTATATTGCTCGTCTTGGAAACCGTTACTAGAAAACACCCAATGGTGTAAACAATTTAAAAGACAAATAAGAAGTCTTGGTGACGTTTATAGTCGTACCACACCGATCACAAAACGACAGCCATATGAAGCAAAAGCTGTTGGTGTTTCTATGACGCTTTCTGTCAAACAAATTAATAAAAGAGCTTCTTCAAATTAAAAGTAAACAAATTCAACTGTATGTGAGTTGCAATTTTTGACTCAGCTCTATGTAGCCCGTCTTCCACGAGCTTGGAGTGACAGATCTAATGTAATCCAATGTAATTTCTCCCTGTAATAAAAAAACACAACTGTGAGAATTGAACAGGTACTTTATACCTAGCCTGTTACCCAGTGATGTCTACATACTTTACGACACCCTTAAATGAACAGTTCCTAATTGATATCCAGTTTATCAACAAAAGTTAGATCAACCTTTCCACAAGACAGAACTGCAACAAAGCTTGGCAACGAAAATGTGGCGACTTATGAAAGAGTGAAAAGGACATGGAACTTTCAACCAAGGACTTTTCCGAAAATTCGTTCATCCAAACTTACCTAACATGTCCAAGCTTATCCTGTCTTATCCAAAATAACTCCGCAAGTGACCTGGCCAAATACGACGATCAGATTTTAGTAGTGACGTGCTGTTTCCTAAGATATAACTCTTCCGTCATAAAGATTCCGGAAACTCATTCGCCTGCTCGCTGGTGTAAAGAACCGTCTACTCTGCATCACTGGTAGTCTGACGAAAGTCCACTGCCTCGATGATAGTGGTGCAGAAGTTAGTGTCCTTCCAGCGAACTCTAAAGATTACTTACATGATACAGTTTTTAATCTTAGTTACTTACTTACTTAATTACTTACTTACGCCTGTAACCCCCTATGAAGCATGGGCCGCCGACCAATATTCTCCAACGTACAGTGTCCAGGGCCTCCCTTTCCAGTTCTTTCCAATATCTGTTCATTCTTCCTATGGCTATCTCCATATGTGTTGTCTTGACATTTAGGTAAGAAGTGTTTTATCATTTTGTTTAGAATGTGGCCTAATTTCTGTATGATAAATAGGTGTAGTCAGCTTCGGGCTATTTGAATTATTAACAGTTGAGAAACTCACTGAAATTAAGTTGCAGTATATTTTCTGTTGTTGACAGATCGACTTAATTAGTGCATTGAAATTAATTATATCCCATACATTTGAAAACAGAAATATGAAATTCACATTTACTATATAAAAAATATAGTTACTTAATTAGTTACGCCTGCGGCATAGGCTGCCGACCAATATTCTCCAATCTACTCCGTCCTGGGCTTCCTTTTCCAGTTCTCTACAATTTCCGTTCATTCTTCTCATATGTTTCTTTATTTCTCGGCATAATGTGCTTCCTGGCCTTCCACTTTACCTTTGGCGTTGAAGGTTCCATGTGAGAGCTCGTCTTGTGGCGCAGATTGGTGCGTTCCGTAGTTTGTCCTGTCCACTTTCACCTCTTCTTCCTGATTACCTCCTCCACTAGAATCTGGTTTGTTCTTTCACACAGTAGATTTGGGCGCGAACTCTGAAAGTGGTAACTTTTTTCACGTGGTATAGTGTTTTTCGGAAATCTATCATTCGTAGGGTATTACACTGATTTGGTAGAATTTATCTATTGTACACGGTGCACTTTGCTTCTAGAAAGCAAATCTAAGTTTTTAATCAGTTAATACATACTTGTCGTTTGATAACGATTTTAACTTCTGAATACACTAGTTTAAGCCTACTTACAGTGACTCTTGCACTTCATAACTGAACCTCTTATCTTTAAAATCCGCCACTGATTTTTAGTATTAACACAGTTAATACACAATAAGTTATACCCTTAGATATTTGAGTTACTTAGACAAGCAATTATCCCACCCAATTTTCCATTATGACAAATAATTCGAGTAAAAGAGAAATGTCTCCAACTTTTAAACCACCCAAAAGATCAAAATCTGCAAACCCTATGTCAGATGAATCTTCACTAAGTATTCCAATAGTAAAACTCGTAGATATAAGAGATACTATACCCAAATATACCGAAACCTCTACACAGAAAAAACTTCAGCATAATCTTGTAAAGCCTAAATCAGGAAATTCACAAACCAAGGAGTTGAATGCTCCATCCGAAACCGTTAATAGTAGTAATAACCATGGCAGCGAGATACGACAGTTACAAAACTCACTTGCCCAAATTAACGATAAGCTTAACCTGTTAGCACCCCTCATGCACTTATGGGCCCCGAATAATGATAGGAACCTAGAAGAATTAGCCAAAGCGGAATATATCCTAGGCTTTGTAGCTGAGGAAGTTACGAGAAGAATAATGTCTTCCTGCAATGCGATAGCATATAACCTCCCCGACCACACATCCTTGAATTCGCTAAAGGATACCTGTCTAAAAGCGTGTGATATGACAAACGTCAGCTGTCACGTCACTCGCCTCAGAAAAAAATCGGACAAATCAACTTGCCCTCTCCTTTTCAAATTCGGCTGCTGCAACGACGCCAAACAATTTATCCGTTTGAGCAAAAATATTAGCTCATCAACCTTATACAAAGAAGTAAAGGTTACCCCGGATCTAACGCCTCGTCAACGTCGTGTAAAACAAGAGAGGCGACTAGATCACATGACGGTGAGACAGCAGGCAATCTACAGAAAATAACCCTCAATGTCATGAACGTAAATAAATAAATAAACCACGATGTAGATCTTGATAAGCCTGTGGACTGTAAACCTTCTAACAAAGTAAGGATGCCCTCTGTCACCAAGAAATCGAACGACCCTTGCAGTTCTAATCCCAGCTGTTCGAACGTTAACTTGACTGAATATGTCCCAAAAAACAACACAGTTCCAGCTAAAACTAATAAAATTAAGAATCCATCCCCAAAATATATTGCACGAGAGAATACGATAGAAACTGACGTGTTTTTGAAAAACACGTCCAGGGGACCAAAACATTCTCCGTCTTTAACTAAGAAGAGTGAACTGATTAAATCTTGGGTCTCAAGTAAAAAAATAGGTAGGATTCAAACCCGATTGCCACCGACTTTCCCAACTACGATGAACAGGTTCACTCCTTTAATGTCATGTGATGTGCCCCTAGCCTCTCCAAGTTGTAAGACTGATAATATTAAGAACATGTCAGACCAACATCTGAACATGCGCACAAATAATTATTATCCAAGAGCTAGGTGCACTGCCCAACCACCTAATCCTAGAACTATTAGTGAAAGTGGAAATGGAAGATTTTTCACCCCTCACCCTATCCTAAAGACCCGGGCTTTTATTCGCAAAAACGCTGAGAATGAAAACTCTATGCATCCTGCTCTACCAAGCCAGCTGGTAAACATGACCCCCAAATTTAGAAAAGGCCATAGCAACTGGCACTCGTATATGGCTAACCCTCCCCAAGTTAAAACCATTCTGTATAAATTTAGCCTTAGTAACGAGCTGTGTCATCAAGACATTACTAGAAACGGTGGTGAACTGCAATGCCAGCCGAATCAAAATTTTTTCGGGATACAGCCACTTGTGGTACCTCTTGCGCGACTAGATTCCACTTCATGAATAATATCTTATTACCCTATTCTCTCCGATTACTGCTAATACTTACACTACCTATACTACTATGGGATTTGAATTGACGATTGCATCTCTGTTCTATTGTGGTATGGCAACTTGAACTGGTGTACGTACGTACGAAGTTCTACGTTGCTATTGATTGATTGACCGAAAAGTGATCGTGTACATGGCTGCTTGATCTTTGGTGTGTGATTTTTCGAAGATTACGTTTGGCGTAGGTTCATGCCCTACCAAGCTTGAAGTGGTGTACAGGCTCGTGGTTATTATGCCGAATAGATATTTACGAGTTGACCTCCATTGAAGACATAAATTTCTTAGGTCACGTGGGGGAAAATATCCATATCGTAACATTTTGGATTGTTAAGTTTTAACTCGTTCTTCATTGCCTATCCCGCTACAGTTTCTAGGCTCAAATAAATCCTCTTCACCTCTTATGGACATCCGGTCTTTGCATCATCTGCATAGACTAGTGCCCCTGAGCCGATTTTATCTAACAGTAAAGCAGCGGACACATGATGGTCTCCTCTGAAACTCCTAATGTTGAGACTTTCCAGGTCTCATACATTATATTTATCTTGACACAATACTTCATATTCTTTGGGTAGTTTCGAAGCCAGAATATAAGTAGATCAGTGAAACTCATTGTCGAAACTTTCGCCATTAGAAGTACTTGAATTGCTGTGTCAAAATATTTATCGAAGTTAAGAGATATTATATAAACCAGTGTCCCTTGATCTCAAAGAAATGAGTTTAGCGTGTACTACATTTTTCAAACTACGTGACAGTAGACTAGTCACTCTCCACTAGTATACGGAGTTATTCCAGTCCTAAATTGTCGGTTTTAAAATGTGAGATGGATATTATTCTATTAAAGTAGAGCTATTGAGGCCATTATGCACGATCATTTTTAAGTACTAGTATAAACCATTAGATTTCTGTGCGCTCGTTTATTGTTGCTTCCGTACGGTTTCAGGATTTAGTTAGCAAAATTTTGGGTCCATACTCAAAATCTACCACCGGACACCAAGTTCCTTGAAGTTATGTTACAGATTCACTTTGAATGATACTGTTAGATAAATCCTTCAAAAATTCTGTTTCACCTCTGTGGTCGTTTTACAGCAGCCAGTACAAAGACGAATTTTTAGTCGCCAGCCAATACACAATGAGGACAAAAGACTTGTTACTTTATGCTTGAAAGACGGTCCAATACTAACTTGCAAAACAAAAAAGAAGAGTAAACACCAGTGATCACCAGTTCGAGATTCGTAATCATATTTCCAACATTCTTTTATATACACAAAATCAGGCAATATCGTACTGGTAAATGCAACTAAAAACTACACATGAGTGAGCTGAAGATGGCTGAGTAGGGGAGATTGTAAATAATAAATTTTCAACAAATTAGGAATGGTAAGTCGTATGAAAACAACTTGTAGATTAACAAGAAGCAACACATATACCTCATAGCTTAGTTAATTCATAATTATAAATTTAAATTATACACATCAATATTCTTATATTCCCATAATTTACTTTAATTTAAGTGGTCAGTATGAATTTTATCTTGACTTACTACTGTATTGACTACTTCAACATGACAGGTTAAGTAGTGCTTTGGTTATATATATACACTTGCCACACTGCTGCCTTTTCCTCTCTCTCTTCTCCTTTTCAGAACCCCATTCACGGTGGGAAGTCCTTGGCAACTCTAGGGAACATGCACCCAATGTACATGACTGTCTGGATCACAGCTCGTATCAAGCGCGTTCCATATGACCTTTCCCAACAAATTCACTGTTGATCTCGGCCAATCGCCAATAGAACCTATTGTGCACCTTCCTCATTTGTACTCTAATATTGAAAATGTGTCTGTATAATACTGTTTCTGTCAGTGATATGGTGTAAATATGCAATCAGAAACTGTCTCTTATACTTAATTTAACTGCTATAACTTTTACAGTAATTGTAAAAGCATTTGTGACAATTTGATCTAGCCTGTAAACTGGCGTGACTCTTGTAACTTAGTTATTTGAGAATAAATTATTATTATTATTATAATAGTCCATAAATTAGTTGCATAAGTTTCTAAGTACGTTATAACACCTTCATCCTATGTAATAGGCAAACAATTACAGGATTAAGAAACAAATACGATATATTACAGTTTTGATACTCCTTGATGTAAGTTAAGTAAAATTCACACTCTTCGTTAATGGAAAGAGAAATTTGTTTAGTTCTTGCAAAGGGTTTTTATATTAACAGTCGTCTGTAATGGCTCATTTACAAACTTAGATTAGCAGATGCAACTCCTTGCAACATTCAGCAACAAAATGTGGTTCATATTTTCAAAGATGGATCAATCCTAGTGATACCCACAGACTGTACGTGCTGGAGGATGCAAAATTCATGACTTTTGACGAGATGTTCAAGATATCGTTGCCTAAAATAAATCACATTATCAAATTGATTTGTAACTCAATTGTATGGTTTTTTAACAGTCTTATTGTGTTACAGTGCAAAATGTTGGATAATATACCTAAAAGTTATTTTATAAAGCAACTCCAAGGTTAGTTAGAGGACATCTGGTTCAAACAACCGTGTGCGGATCAAGTTGAAAATGTGCAACCCATTGGGGTTTAAATGAACTAAAAATATAGATCCATTTACAGTAGTAAGATACACGTTGCCCACCAAAACTATCATATTCCACTCATATTTCTTTCAAGGGAAAGATTGTTCGTTGAACGTTTAAACCTGTTCATGGGTTGATGAGAAATCACTAATTAATTATATTCCATAGGCTAAACAGTATCTACCCGTATC